CTCGCCTATCTCGACACGTGGCACTTCTCGGCGCATTTGGTGTTGCCACGTGGCACTTCGCCTAATAAACAAATCCAATTAAATCGGGACGAGGAGGAGAAGGAGAAGAAAGGAGGAGGAGAGAAGAAGACGAAAGGAGGAGGAGGAGAGAAGAAGACGAAAGGAGGAGGAGGAGGAGGAGTGAAGAAGACAGACGACAAAAGGAGGAGAGGAGGAGGAGGAGGAGGAGGAGAAAGGAGGAGGTGGAGAAAGGAGGAGGAGAGAAGAAGAAAGGACGAGGAGGAGGAGGAGGAGAAGAAGAGAGGAGGAGAAGAAGAGGAAGGAAGGAGGTGGAGGAGGCTTCACGACGATGGCAACAGCAGCTTCATGGGCAGCGATGACGGGGAGGGCTTCTCGGCGGGGCAGCTTGACGAGGAGCAGCGACGACAGGCCGACTTTACAACGGCAGCGACGACGGGCGTCACAACGGGGAATACCGTGTTCGAATTCGAACGCGGCGTCGTAGTCCGCCAGAGGGGGAAACCATTTCTTGGCGGCTGATCTCAGCTGCCGATCTTTGCAGATCAGCGGCTGGGATCAGTCGCCGAAGAGATCCAAAAAAAAAAAAAAAACTAGTGTTGCTGGAGGCTGGGGAGGCGACCACTAGCCGAAAAAGGCCTCCCCTCCTCCCCGCGCAAAATTGCACTGGGCTCGCCCGACCCCAAACCAGGGGACCCAACCAGCTGGGCCGCCAGGGACCCCTGCCGGACGAAAGCCAGACCACCGGACGGCCCGGATTTTAACACAGCAAAGAAAAGGAAAAAAAAAGGAAAAAAAAAGGGTAATCTTGCACACGCAAAATGCAATAGAACTAAGTTCCTATCATGAAAAGCTTGATAGGGCATGGATGGTGCAAAGATCCTGACACTATTTCACTTGCAAAGCAACATGCAATTGAGAGCAAGTAAATAAAGCTCACACGAGCTTGAGATATGGCCATGAACAGTGCAAATTCGAAGTTCCACTCAGATATGCAAGGAAAATAAGCAACAGCGAGATGACAATCCAGACCACACTATTACATTGAGAGCCAAATAGTCACACCGTGTCCATAGAGCAGCATTGCACCAATATTACACCAATGGAGGTTCATAGCACTGAAAAACCATGTTCATGGAGAGCATACTCTCTCCCTTCAACACAAGAGTCCAGTTCCTCAACCCTCACACTTGGCGCTCAGCGCCCAGCCTACTCCTACACAGCTACTACAGACTACAAAAAGACAATKCAACTGTTGACATCAGCAGCAGTCCGAAGTACTTGAAGATGCCGCCCATGCAGACCATCACCAATACAAGGTACGTGCCCTCACATCATCATCATCATCATCATCATCATCCTTCACCTATCCCCTGACTTCACCCACACCTGTCCTCTCTGTCACCCGAAGACCACCCCTGCGCTTCACTGTAGTCCAAGCCCACCAGCTATGGTGGCTGGGCTATGGCGCTGCCCTCAGCAGCGCCCTCTTCCTCTGCACGACCGCACGTGCTGCACCTCGCCTCCCAGCGCTAGCAGCAGCCTACGAGCATTAGCTCCAGCAGCGCTGCCGCCCAGCATGCGAGTGCCTGAATGAGGCAGCCAGGGCCGGGCTCTTTCCTTTATGGAAAGAGTTGGCCTGCTCACGCAGCCTGGCTGCCTTGGCCTGGGCCCAGAAGCTTCCGGAAGGCCCCAGGAGGCTGCCTGGATGCAGCAGCTACTGGGCTGCTGGGCCTCGTTCGGTTGGGCGCCCAACTGCCTCTGTATGAGGCTGCGAATCACGGCCAGGGCCTGCATTCTTTGGAAAGGCCCGGTAGGCCGTGGAAATGTCYTTGTKGCTCGGCCTGTGTTTCTTTCAACCAACTGGBGCGTCGCAACTGCCTGAACCCCAAATAYGAAATTGACAGTCGAAGGCCTTTTGCGAAAAGCCAGGCCCGCCTTCACTTAGGGCGGGCACCTCCACCTTCACTTAGGGCGGGTAAGGCTGCAGACAGGGCCCCAAAGGCCTACCGAGGACCCTGATCCTCGCAGATACAATAATATAGTAAATATACAATTAAAAAAATCCGGAATTCGGCAGTAGCAACTGCCGCAACAACCCCCACTTTCGCTCTCTCCCTTCCCCTCTCTCTCTCTCTCTCTCTCTCTCTCTCTCTCTCTCTCTCTCTCTCTCTCTCTCTCTCTCTCTCTTCTTCTTCCTTCTTTGCACTGTTCACTCTCGTTGCTCTCCCTTTCTGTTCTGTCCTCCGTCTACGTCCTAGATCTACCCTGAATGCTACTGCAGCATGTCTCTCTCAACATCAGGCGGCGATGGCCGCCAAGTCTGCTTCTCCCCCTCCTAGCTATGGCTGTCTCCTTCAGCCAGGGCACACTTAGCATCTCCTCAGCGCACTCCTTCGTCCAGGTCGCTAGTTCGCACAGCTCCAACAGCGCTCCACAAATTTGCGAAATGAACAACTGCCTCTGTCTGGTAGTGTAGCCCAAAATATATTGTTTTCCATGGGCTGGGCCTGCCTGCTTCGATTGGTACCGGCCTTCTCTTGCCTCTGCCCTCCCAAGTTGCTATTTTGGGAAGGTTCTCACCTTTCTTGTGAGGCTGCTGCAGAAACTGGACCTTTGGGGACTGGCATGATCCTACAGGTACTGTTCCTACAGACCTACGACATCTGGACCTACAGACTCTAAGATTTAACTACCAGTAGGGGGCCTGCGGAGTGCAATAATGGGGGACTCTGTAACAGGGACTGGTAGGCTTGCAGCGTGAATCCATTCAATGGGTTCAAAGAGGGTAAGATAGAGAATAAAGGGGGTTAGAGGGTGGATGCTTAATGCACTTTATTAATTTTTATCTAAATATTGTTTTCTGTTTCTGTTTTATTTTTATCTTCGTATCTGTTGAGATATCGAAGATGGCATCAAGCCAAAAGTTGTTTGTATATCATTAATATGAACAACGTACTTTTTCCCGGATTTTTTTGATTTTTTTCGGTTTAAAAAACGTATTTTGCGCAGGGCCGGATTTCCATATCCGGACTTAATCCGAAATTTTCATGTGGCTCAAAAAAAAAAAAAAAAAAAAAAAGGTTCCGGATAAAATCCGGATTTGCTACCTAGCCATAAACAGATCCTCCTGAGTTTGAATCCTGATGGGTACAATGAGGTTAGGGGCTCTACCTCTGTGTAACTTTTGGCCTTTGTTCGGTTTGCTTGTTTTGACACCGTGACCATGTATGCGTTCCTTACTTCTGTCAGAGCTCTGTCTGGTGAACCTGTCTTTCCTGTCTGCTCCTGTGTGGGCTGTATAAGAAGCTACTGGTGAGCCTTGCACTGTCGGAGGGCAGACTCACGTATAGCTATCTCTCCGACAGCAGCCTCACGTATAGCTATCTCTCCGACAGCAGACTCATGTATAGCTATCTCTCCGACAGCAGACTCACGTATAGCTATCTCTCCGACAAGTGCGCGATGGGGAACCTGGCTGTCACTGTCTGGTGTTGGTCAAAGCAGACTAGCGCCATTTGCCTGCCTCAGGGGATACTAACAGGAGGAGTTTCTTGGATGCCACTGGCCGTACTGACTGCTTTTATGGCCAGTCCTGGATGCACCTGATTGCAATTACATCCAGTGCTTATTCGAAAAAGGAAAAAGCCGTACGTTTATCACCCAAATAAAATGGGTTGCATCCGGGGCAACTTTCAGTCTAGACACAGCGATGATCGGGCATTCTATTCGGGTGAAGACAGGAGTGTCAGTATGCTCTCCTATGTATGTCATGGACTGTCGATGTTGAAAATTTTGACAGTAACCTAGCCTAACCTACGTGAGGGGTGGTCTTATCCATCCTCTTTATGCTTAGCAGGATGGGGGTAATCGGCTGGGGGGGGGGCGGGAAGGCAGTGTCCATATTTTTTCTTGTTTTTTGGCTCACCTTATCAAACTGTAGGGTTTTGTTTTTGCGCCATGAAGGCTCTGTCTGACCTGTGCTCAACAGAGCGGAAATGAAGGGTGGTATTATCCACCATCTTTATGTTTAGCTGGATGGGGGTAATTGGCGGCGGAGGGGAGGCAGTCTTCCATTTTTATTCTGTTTTTTGGCTCACCTTATACCAAACTGTAGGGTTTGTGAAGGCTCTGACTGACCTGTGGTCAACAGAGTGGAAACAAAGGGGCGCACACCGAGTGTGTCTCGGCGAGGTGATGATTCGTACGCCTTGCTTGTGCATGGCGTGGTGAGTTTGTACCTTCCCTGTCTCTAAGGCTCGAGTCTCTGCATGGTGTTGCTGCTGCTGCCACAACAGGTGTTCAGGTGGATGCAGATGCAAGAATGGTACGTGCCAAGCGACCGTCTTTATGCGAAAATCATATCGATTGTTGGCAAGTTTCAGAAAACGTCCATCGCTCTGACCCTTTTCAACGAAGCGCAGTCGATAGGGCTCGCGGATAATGTGAACGTCTACGGTGCCATGATCTTCGCGTACTCGCGATCCGGCATGGTCGATGCGGCGAAAGCTATGGTGGTGCGGATGGAGGAGGATGGTATAGTTCCCGATGCCTTCATTCGGAAATCCATTGCCACGGGTATGAGTTTCAGGAGTTTGACACGGGGCGCACGTCTGCAGAGTGTGGGAAATGTGCTGGAGCAGTGGCGTCCAGAGATGAGTGTGGAGGAATTGCTATCTTCGGTTCTGCCGGCCGAGGAGGCGGGGTCGTCGCCGATGATATATTCGCAAGTGCTGGCCCATGCGGGGCGGTTTGGAGATTGCGAGAAGATGGAGCGGGTGCTGAAGGAGATGAAGGAGAAGGGGTATGCTTTGTCGGAGAAGGACTACAACAGTGTGCTGTCCTGCTACAGCCGCCAAGGGGAAGTGGAGAAGATGGGGGAAGTGTGGGAGCAGATGCTGGCGAAAGGATGGCAGCCATCCGTTCATTCCTGCACGACGATGCTTGACGGTTATGGTCGAAAGCACATGTACGACGCGATGGACAAGCTCTTGGCCGTCGTGCATGCGGCAGGCTTGAGGCGAGATCAGATTATGCTCGAGGTGTTGCTGCTTGCGTTTATCAGGGGCCAACAATGGGATAGGATGGAGGCGATTCGCGACGAGGTGCGGGCCCGGGGCTATCGCCTCGGCGCAAAAGTCTACTTCGTCATGATCGAAGAGTTTGCCAAGTGGGAGCGCTACGATGCAATGGAGAAGGCTTATCGAGAATTGATTGATGCCGGATACCGACCTGACGTGGACACGTACGGAAAGTTAATCGACGGATGTAAGGAGGGTCGTAAGTTCGATCTTATGGAAGAGGTAATTGCTGCAGTGCCAGATTCGAAGAGGCGTGGAAGGAGACAGGTTCAGGAGAGGAAGGAGAATTACGTTCCATTGGAAGGCCGGAAACCTTCACCGAGTGGTCGGTGGAAAAGACTCGGCAGCCGGGGACCACGGAGACGAGGACAACAGGAGGAGGTTGAAATGGTCAAACATTGAGGGTTCTGTTGATTGGCCTAGTTTCTGTGTTTTCCTGTGGCTAACCTTCCTTTGCGTTTTCGTTCCATGATCTCACTGCCTTGAACTTGAAACTGAAAAGAAAAAAAGAAAAAAAGGTCCAAAAGTATCCATTTGTTGCAGAGGGTGAAATCGGAAATGACGCCGTTGTACAGAGGGCAAATTGGAAATCAAGCCATTCATTGCGCGAGACCATACTTTTTCTGCCCGGCGCAGACGTCAGGCTGGACGGACTCAGTCTGACAAGCAGCGCAATAGTTTTTTTCGGCAGTGTTTCGAGCCCTTGGATATGTTTTTTGAACTTTTTGTGAAAGAGGAGAGTGATGATTTTTCTTCTTTTTTTTTTCGAACGAAGAGAGTTGTGATGTAGTTTGCAACTCAACATCTATTTTCTGTCCATGGTTCTGTACGCCAGTGAAGCAGTAAATGTTCGGATAAGGCTGAACTTGCATGGATGGTGTTGAGGAGGGGGGAGATGGGTCTCTTATACACATCTAGATGTGTATA